CACTCACCTCAGCCTCCCAAAGGTGCGGGATTACAGGTTGAGCCACCGAGCCCGGCTTTAATTTTTTTTACTTATTGTAGAGATGAGGTCTCACCAAGTTGCCCATGCTGGTCTTGAATCTCAGGGCTCAGGCAGTTCTCTCACTTTTGCCTCTCAAAGTGCTGGGATTATAGGCATGAGCCACCATGCCCACCTTTTAAAAAAAATCTTACTTTAGAAAATACAAAGTGACAGTTTGTCGTGTGTGTGTGTGTGTGTGTGTGTGTGTGTACGTACGTACAGAATAGAGGGATGAAGAATATCATTTTAAGGGATGAAGAATATCATTTTAACTGATGAGTAATGGAAAATAAATCATGGACAATATTTCTTATTCACAGTGCTTAAGAGATACTTGTTGAATTAGTGTTTATTAATGGATTCATTTAGTATTGTCATTTGGTGTTTAAGCTCTGGAATCAGACTGTGTGGATTCATACTCTTGTTTGCCATTGATTATATATGTGACCTTGAGAAATGTTTAGAATCTGTGTCTTAGTTGCTTTCATGGTATGACAGTGGTCCCCACTTTACAGTTTGTTGCATTAAATGAGAAAATACATGCAAGCACTCAACATAGTTTCTAGCGTTTAGTAAATGCTTAGTAAAAGTTATCTTCCAGCCGGGCTTGGTGGCTCAGCCTGTAATCCTGCGCCTTTGGGAGGCTGAGGTGAGTGGATTGCCTGAGCCCGCGGGTTCGAGACCCACCTGGGCAGGCGAGACCTCATCTCTACTATAAATCAAAAAATCAGCTGGGCGTGGTAGCACGTGCCTGTAGTTCCAGCTACTTGGAAGGGCTGAGGCGGAAGGATCGCCAGAGCCCAGCAGGTCGAGGCTGCGGTGGCCGGGAGCGGCCACTGCACTCCAGTCTGGGCGACAGAGTGAGACTCCAACTTAAAAAAAAAAAAAAAAGCTATCTTCTGTTGTTTTTATCAGTAGGTATCATTGTACTGGGATATTTATTTCTGAACCTACTTAGTTTTAAATACTGTGTTTCTGCGAAGTTGGGTATAGTTTGACTAATTTTTTTTTTTTTGAGTTGGAGTCTCTGTCACCCAGGCTGGAGTGCAGTGGCGCATTCACGGCCACCGCAGCTTCGACCTGCTGTTAACTAATCTTTTAAAATATACCAGAATCTTATTGTCAGAAGGAACATTTTGTAACCAAACTAGTTAGCAACAAGTGCATGTTGAATACTTACTGTGTCAGGCCCTGTTTTTATGGAGCTTCCTATCTAGGGAGGGATTATGAGCTTCAAATGAATAGTTTTGTTTTTGAGGTGTGATGAGTGTTTGAAGTGGTGCTCAGTGCTGTCAACACGTAATGACCCCAGCCTGTGGACTAGGGGTGGAGGGGCAGTGGGAACAGGCAAGACTTCACTGAGGAAGCATGACTCAGAAATGTAGAATGAGTAGTAGATGGCGAAGTAAAATGGAGATGGGGGAGGGGAGACGTGGGCAAAGTGAAGAACACAACATTTGGCGCGTTCTCAGGCATCACTCAGGATTTGAGAAGCACTCAGTCCGACTGGTGTCGGGAGTGGGGCCAGGTGATGAGACTGGAGGGCAGGGCACGTTTGGCCTGCATGCACATTGTGTTTTTTCTGAGCTGAGTCTCTGTCGCCCAGGCTGGAGTGCAGTGGCAGCTGCTCCCGGCCACCGCAGCCTCGACCTGCTGGGCTCAGGCGACCCTTCCGCCTTAGCCTTCCCAGTAGCTGGAACTACAGGTGCGTGCGACCACACCCAGCTAATTTTTCTTGATTTTTTGTGGAGATGAGGCCTCACCAGGTTGCCCAGGCTGGTCTCGAACCCCTGGGCTCATTAAGTCCTCTCACCTCTGCCTCTCAAAGTGTGCATACAAGTTTTTTTGCCTCCTTATGTTGTTCCAAAGGTTTGAATTTGTTGTCAGCATTCACAGATCAGAAAATTTCATGCAAGAGTCTGGGTTTCTGATTTCTCTTGAAAAATTAGAGGATATGGCAGCACTCAAGTCTGTTTTCAGATGGTGATACTCAGTTGCAGCCTAGTAGCAGCTGCTGCCTCTAGAGGGACATGTGCTCTCCCTTTTATGCCACTCAATTAATGTGCCAAATGAGTAAATATAATGAATCAATATTTAACCTGGTTGTTGTTGAGTTTGCGGTTTCTATGCCGGATTCTCGAGAGTTTTTTGTAGTTGAGTTTTCCTGAATATTATGGGAAGTCATTGAAGGGTTTTAATAAAAGCAAGAGAATGACATGGTCATTTTAAATTTTTAAAAAATTTAGTCACTTTGGTTGCAGTGATTACTTACTCGACGGCGTAGGCAGGAGGGTAGCAGGTTAGGAGGGTCTAGACCACTGAGGATATTGGCTTAGACCCCAGGGGTGGTAGTGGAGCGCCGGAGGAATTAGTGGAGAAAAATGGTGATGATTCAAGAGATGGTGATGTTAGCTGTAAGTTTCACAGCAAACAGTGGTTGGCTGAATATGCGGGCTGAGGTAGAAGAAAGAGGGAGTCCA